ATATCAACCTATATTTTACTCACCAAAACTTGTGATTATTTAACCACAAACTCCATCCTCCTTTCTTTCCTCACAAAGAGTTCAATCACTCTGTTGAGCAGGTCATCCATGCGTTTCACACTCCTCTCACTTGATGTTTCGACAGAGCCAAATGGACTTTTCTATCTAATGTCATAGCCCGGTTTGGATTTGGGAATACATTTCTTAAATGGATAAAACTACTACATGTCAAGCCTGTAAATGATGTGGTGTCCAAACCCTTTGGTATAACAAAAGGATGCGCTCAAGGTTCCCCTTTGACCCCACTTTTGTTTATTTTAGCTATAGAACCATCCACAATTGCAATAAGAGCTACCAGTCAAATACAGGGGATTAAAATAGGCGGATGATGTAATTTTGTTTCTGAAACAGCTAAACACCTCTATACCTGCGTTGTCAGATTTGTTAAGCTTGTTTGGCAAAATTTACGGATATAAATTGAATGCATCCAAATCATCACTTACTGCTAAAATGCTGAAATCAAAAGTCAAACCCTGGTCACCACGTATCTACATTAAAGATCTCAAACAATTTTACCCTCGTGGGCATTAAAATAACACCTCAATTGGAGAATGTAACATCCATAAATGATAAACTTAAAGCAGTCTGTAAATATATCAGTTGACTCTAATATGACACTGCTACATTTCTATCCGACAGATCTCACTCTGAGATCCAAACAATATAAATGAATTGATTTCTCAAGATTGTAAGCAAAGCGATTAATAACTGGAAGAAAACTTCCGCACCTACAATTAGTGCTTGGATAAAGAATATGGCACAATGTATGTTACTGGAGAGAATAACATATTTTAAAAGACAAATTGGAAGTCCATCCATTATCTATACACTGCCTAGTACTTACTAGGGTCGCGGGGGGGCTGGAGTCTATCCCAGCTGACTTGGGGTGAAAGCAGGGGACACCCTGGACAGGTCACCAGTCTATCACAGGGCTACACTTAGAGACAGACAACCAAGCACACTCACATTCACACCTATGGACAATTTAGAATCACCAATTAACCTCAACATGTTTTTGGACTGTGTGGGAGGAAGCCAGAGAACCCAGAGAGAACCCACGCTGCACGGGGAGAACATGCAAACTCTACGCAGAAAGATCCCGGTGTCCTCACGGGGATATGAACCGGCGACCTTCTTGCTGCAAGGCAACAGTGCAAATCACCAAACTGCCTTGCAGCCAAAAAATTGGAAGTCTCCAAGGATGTTTGGAAACAATTTGGTGATTTCATAAGAAGTGATGATATGAAAGAGCTCCTGAAAGAGGACAACCCAGAAAGTGGCACTTAAAGCCTAAAGCAATGCTGAGCAATAGAGCGAGGTTGGAGGCATGTTTACTACTAATAATATTTGTCTAGTGTTAAACGTCTTCATTGTTATTTTATCTGTTTAGCTGCATTTATTTATCATTGTTTTCTTGGGTATTATTTTGTATGGTGCCAACAAACGGTTTATTACTTTGTACCCAGGACACTGACGTGCCCTACATTCATATTATCTTTGAATGAAAGAGAGGCTAAGAGAGAAAACTTGGTTCTGTGTGTGAGAGGGGTGGGTTGTATTTGTTAAAGAAAAATGTAACACGTAGCAAATGCTTTTCTCTGTATGAATACTGAAAACAACACTGTGTATCCAAAAACCCTTAAAAAAAAAAATAAAAAAACCTCAGTCACTGTAATGTCCTCTACAGTGATAGAATCACAAGTACTTATTTGTAAGGACACATTATAGTGAGGAAATTTTGGCCAGAGCGTCACAAGTACAGGAAGGTGTATGTGTGTGTGAGACCAACCCTGTCCTGGTCCTTCCATGGAATGCCACGGAGGCGAGTGTAAAGCTCCAAATGCTCTCTGGCTGTCAGGTCGTCAAACAGAGCATCAAACTGTGGACAGTAGCCAATACTCTGCTGCACACGTAACAGGTCCTTCAAGATACTGCATACACACATATTTTGCACACACACAAACTCATGTTAACTGTTCAGACAAATACACTGTTTCCCATACAGTTGGAAAAAATACATTTTATTTACCCTTATCATGTAATTACGGAGCCCCTAAAGGGACATGTTGGAAAAAGAAAAAAGACGCCAAGTTTCTCGTGTGCACAAGATACTATGTCGTACTCGACATACGCTTCACATGCGAACGGGATACGTTTCTCGTGGGAACAGGATACAGGGTAATGGATTCAGTAAAGTTGGAAAGATATTCAAAGATTTGAACTTCTGGCATCAATAACTCTAAAGTGAATTGTCGTTTTAAATCAAATGGCACTTCTTTCCAAACGTTGTAATACTGACCACAGCCTACAACCAGTCAAAATCATTTTTTTCCCCCCATAATGAGGCGTCCTCTGTTCTTTATGAATTACATTGATCTTTACGTGGACCGTCAACAAATTACCACAGCGAAAGGAAATGCTTCGAAAAAAACTCAGAAGCATTACATTTATTGTTTGTACTGCCATCAAACTCACATCACACATCAATGACCTTCCTCTGGTTGTACTACAGCACTTAGATTGGAAAAAATGTACTATTATATAATTATATTATATAATTTTAGGTATTTTTTTATTGTATTTTTGTATTTTTATTGTAATAAATTTGAATAAAATCTCAAAAAGTTCTTATTTATTGGTTGTAGTGCCACCAAAACCACATCACACATCAATGAGCTCCCTCTGGTTGTTAAGTAAATTATATAATAGTACATTTTTCCAATCTAAGTGCTGGAGTACAACCAGTTGAAGGTCATTGATATGTAATGTGAGTTTGGTGGCAATACATACAATTAATGTGATGTTATTGACTTTTTTTTCTTTTTTTCTCCATGTCCCTTTTGGGGCTTCATATGTAATGATTATGACAATGTGATTTATTCTTGATCGATAGAGCATATCCACTATAAACTTTACTGATGTCACAATTTTACATACAATACATACCACAGTAAAAATTAAACCACAATTAACTTTTGCAAACTGTGTATTCAGGCTTAAACTAAATTTGGGCTATTGAACAATAGGATTAAGAGTTTTGTTTAAATTTTTCAACCTTGGCCAATTTAACAGAAACACATTCAAGGGGATTTCATGCATAAGAATGTCCAATATTTCTCTTTCAAATGTCACTCAGTCACTAATATTGAGTATGGCCACCCCTGACACTGATCAAAGACATTGTGACATACTGTCCAAAAGCTTGTTGATGGTGTCAGTGGCTGTCTCTCTTCATCAATCCCAAAGTCAGAATTTGTTTCACCTGGGTAACTGGGACTCTGTATGTAATAATTTCTCCTGGTCAGAAGTGATTACTGATGTCTACAAATAGACAAAAAAAAGAGGAATGTGTCTGAAAACAAAAAATATTCCAACTTTATAGGCAACAGTGTATATGTGAAAACCCAAACACCATTGTCATATGTTCACATACAAATAACTGCCTTTTAAAATTAAGGACAGTGTACTGCTACCATCATGACAAAAATCCTTAAAACAAGATGTGTTTCAATTTCCTGTGACACATTTTCTTGATATTATGTGATACAAACTTGTTTCTTAATGTTTCTCACTCAACATACCAATTTATTTTTAGAAAGTTCTCACAAAACTTTCTTATTTCATAAAACCAACATATCTTGTTAAGTATAAAACAAGAAACTATGGCGTTACGATGACACAACAGTCCATCATTGCCTGTACTGACATGCTTTCATGTTGTTTATGTGTGTAAGAGTCATATATTTTTGTTGTTAATTTTACCAAACACTAGGGGGCGTAGAACCTCGTAAGGTGGCCCAGATTATAAAAAGGCATGCCACTGATGACAGGTGTTGTCAATCAGTGGGAAGCAAACAGTTTTTGACTGTTATTGGATTGAAGGAATTGAGTAATGGGGTAGTCTTTATATATGTTTGATTTATATGGACTGAAATTGGAAAATAAATAATTGGAACCAAAAATGTTGTGAGAGACTGAGTTTCTGGTCCGATTAACACGTCAGAACCAAAGTCACTGATTTACAACCTGTAAAGGCTGAAATTGGGATGTAGTCACTACAGTATGTGTATTTCATACGAGTGTCTGTCAGACTGGGCAATAACTTGGTACCAGTGAGTGCGTGGCACACTGGACCAGTATCTGATAACAACGGTACCATGTGAACACAAACAAACATCATAATAAGTAACCATTTTCTTGTTTTCTATCACTGACCTGTTTCCGTTAATGAAGGCCTCTCCTCCTGTGGTGCACTCGTCTCCTGTCAGCATCTTGAAGGTAGTGGTTTTTCCAGCTCCGTTCACTCCCAGCAATCCAAAACACTCACCAGGCCGGACACCCAGACACAGGCGGTCCACTGCCAGGATACGACCCATCTTCCTCGATTTATACACCTGTGGGGGAAACAGATAAACAGCGGATGACAAGGCCATTAGCCATGCAAATCAAAATTAAATTACTTTTTAACCAACAGGTTAATTTGCTGTACTGACATCACTGGACACATAATTAGAAAGTTAATGATGCTTAAATGAGCACCTTTATGCAAAATGTAGAATCTAACCTTTGTGAGATTTTTGATCTTTAACATATCGTTGTCCGCATCCCCTCGCAGGACTCTTCGTCTCTCATAGGCCACATCTACGTCATCATCATCTATAGGCTGGCAGCTGACTGGCACCCTCCTGGACACACATGCACAATGTATTCAGTTCCAGCATGTCTTCTGTCCCTTTACCTCAGTCAGTAATTCCCTACATTTCTTCAAAATCCTTTTACCAAAGACCAGAAAGGAGGTATGAGCATAGCTGGCTGCACCTTGCTCTGGAGTTAATATGTACTGCAAGAAGTTGCAAGGGTATACTGGTTTATTTGACAAAAATATTAGTGTTTATTTATATTGCAGGTGTCTGAATTTATCTAGACTACCTCATTTTACCCCTATTCTTCTCTCTTAACACATACAGTCATGGAAAAAATTACTAGACCACTCTTGTTTTCTTCAATTTCTTGTTCATTTTAATGCCTGTGTAGCAGGTAGAGTTCCCCCTCCTCTGTGCTGTCTCTTCTCTCTCTCTCTCTCTCTGTCTATTCCCTTACCCTCATTATGTTCATTGAATTCACCTGTAGCTTGATTACAGGGCGGCATTACCGCTTTAGATGTGTGCGTGGGGCTCAGCTAAGGTGTTACTTGAGCCTGGCTCTGTGCTGGCAGCGACTGCCTGGCGGTGTTCCTCGCTCATGTGTGTGATCTGTGGGTTGCCTTTGTCAGGTACATTATAGTTTGGCGCTCCTGTCGACTGGTGAAAGTTCGGCTGCCATTATAGTTTCATTCTGTGTTCTGCTCCTTTACAGTGTGGCGGTGTGTTTGCCAGGTGTGTGGTGTGGGGGTTTGTAGCTCTTCTATGAAACTTCTGGTGCATGCAGGTAAGTCGGCTGAACTCGGTTTGCCGACTCCATTTGGCCGTTTTCTGTACCCTTCACTAAGTGTAGTTTCTTCAGGTCCTGTGCTGCATCGGAGCTGCTGAAAATTGAGGCTGCCATCTTCCCGCTGGCCGAGGGGGGAACTCACCTATTGCGCATATTGCTGCTCTGCCGCCTGGTTGGCTGCCTGCTGGTTTCAGTTTTGGTTGTGGTCAACAGTGCTATATAGACCCATTCATTCTGACTTGAGTTTATGTTATTATGAGTTTGCTAAGTTTTTTTTTTTCTTTTGCTTGAGTTGTTTGACTATTAACTTGTTTATCTACTGATTAATGTGCATGTGATTATTTTTTTCTGACAAATTTGCATTTTTTTTTCTTTTTGTGATTAGTTTACATTTTGTGATTTTGTTGTGGAGGAGTACGTTGATTATTGGCCTGTTTTATATTTTATCTTTTAAATATTTTAAAGTGACTAAAATAAATATGTATTTTTTCTTATTTAAAGAGTCACGCCTCAAGCCCTCGTGTCTCTTAGCTGTGTGTCTTTACGGTGTTACTATCCTGGGGGCGAAATTCCCCTAGGCGCCGTTGTTGGCTCAACAACTTGGGTAATTTAAAATCCTCTTTTATTGTATTAACTAACCTCACCCTAACTCTGCCACACCTGGTATTACTAAAGGTATATTACCTGAAGAATACAATGAAAACGACAACAAATGCAGCTGACTACATAATACTTTATGCCCTATTTGACATGCTTAAGCTTAATTGTATTCCCAGGGTATATAGGAGGCCATTTCGTGTCATTAGCAGCACTGTACATGCAGAGGCCTAGAGTGGTTTCCTGCTTACATTCAAGCTGTAGCACAACTCAGAAGTTGTCAGCTCTCACATAATGCCTAAAACAAAAGAATTGTGTGAAGCCACAAAGGCAGCCATCTTGGCACAGCTAGAAATTAGCATGAGTGAGAAACAGGTAGCGAAAAAACTGAAGATCAAGACAGCCGTTCATTACACCAACAAAAAACAAGCTTTACATGGTACTACCAAATTGCTAGCTGGTCGTGCAGGAAACGTCTTTCTACCCCACGAGATGACTGTGCACTTATCCGTTCCTGTGTCAGGAATCGTCATCAGATCTCCAGGGATCTTAAAAATGAGTGGGCACTGTCGAGAAATGAGACTTGTTCGGCACTGACAGTTTAAAAGCGACTTCTTGAAGCTGGTCTGAAGTCAAACAGGGCACGGAAGAAGCCCTTCATCAGCGAAAGGCAGAGTAAAGCCCGGTTACTATTTGCTGGGGATCACAAGGATTGGACTGTTGATGATTGGGCTAAGGTTCTCTTCAGTGATCTTTTCGTGAATAAACCAGGTCATGTACAGGGCTACTCTTGAAAGCAGTCTTCTTCCATCAGTTGGAAAACTCTTTCCTGTCTTGAATGACTGGATTTTCCAACAAGACAATGACCCTTGCCTACAGCACGGTCAGTTAAAGCTAGGATGGAGAACCAGATGATTGGAACCATGCCTTGGCCGGCACAATCACCAGATATAAATCCAATTGAAAACCTGTGGAAAATTATCAAACACAAAATGGAGAACCAGAAGCCCAAAAACAAAGCAAATTTGTTTGAATTTGTGCAACAGGAATGGGCTGTTCTGACAACTAACCTCACCCTAACTCTGCCACAACCTGGCGTTGTCAGCAGGATGACATTGTTTAAGGCCCAGAGATGTGATTCTATTTTAGAATTGTTTTTGTCTTGTTTGTTCAGTTTGCTTTTTTTTTTTTCAGCAGGAAGTCCATCTTGAGTGGTGTGTGTGCATTCCTACAAAACAGGACAGCAGTATTTTTCCAGGGGTAAAAAAAACCCAAAACAAAGCAAAACATATATATATAGAGATCCAACTTGAGTTGTAGCTATTTTACAAAAATTATATGGCTGCTCTCAGTCTTATGTAACCTTGCAGCAAGCTTTCGTTTCGAGGGGGCAGCAGGAGGGGGAAACCCTGCAGGAGTCTTCATTCGCTCTAATGGCTCTAATGGCACAGGTAAAACAGCAGGCCCCTGATGGTGTACCCAATGCAGAGGTTCTGCTTCGTGACCAGTTTGTGGAGCATGTTGTTGGCAGTAATCTCTGCAGAGAGCTAAAACGGTTTGTCTGTAGCAAACCTGCAGCCACCTTGTTGGATGTACCTGGGAAGCCATTGGATGGGAACGGAGGTGCTAGGGGCCATAGTTTCTCTCTTCCATCAGCTCATGGCTTACAGTTTGGGGTGCAGGGTAGCACTTTCCGCTCAGCCCTTTCCGTCGGTTCATTTGGGTCGGAGCTGGATGAGTTGAAGGAACTCCTAATGCGTCAACAGGAGTGCTTAATCAGCTCACTCAGACTGTAACCTCTTTGCAGACTTCCTGGCCACTTGGACGGGCCCCATGTGATGGTCCTTTAATTTGTCGTAGGTGCCGGCAACCTGGGCACTTTGCCAGGGAGTGTGAGGAGAAATGGGTCCTCCCCTTTGTGCTCCATCTGGAGCTGGTTGTTTCATGGACAATGGGTCCATGGTGTCCACCATGACCAAGAGCTTCTTTAAGGAGCAGTTTGCATCTTGGGGCCATGATCGGCTCCAGTCTTGTAACTGGTTACAGTTAGGGGCCGCTAATGGGCTTGAAATTCCACACATTGGTTATTTTGAACTGGATGTAACACTTTGTGATAATGTAATGCCTCTGTGTGGGATCCTGATCGTGAAGGATCACATCCTAGCCCAACTTCTTCTGTCCCTGGCATCTTGGGGATGAATGTAATTCGCCATTGTTGCCAGGAGCTTTTTGGAGTGTATGGTCCTTCTTTTCTGGACGTTCCGTCTGTTTTTTAAGCCCCCAGTCCTGTCGTTGAGGCCTTGCAAGTGTCACCAGGCTGGAACCCAGGATCACGGGAGCCTGACTGGCGTCGCCAAGGTTAGGGGTAAACGGGCTGTCAGAATAACGGGCGAGGTGATGCAGATGGTCACTATCACCTGTCCTGAACAGTTTTCTGGACAGGCGGCATTGTTTGAACCTCTAGAGTCTGGTCTTCCGGCAGGACTGTTGGTTTCACCTTGTCTTGTACAGGTTGTCCGAGGTACAGCATATATTCCGGTAGTGAATGTTGAGACAACAGATGTTTTGCTTTATCCTCGAACCAGCCTTGGCGCCTTGAGCTGTGCACAGGACACAGGAGCGACCGTGTCATCTCAGGACACTGCTAGGTCAGCTCCAAGTAAGATGGGTGCCGTGGACTTGTCTGCATTGTCTGAGCAGGAGCAGGTTGAGGTCAGGTCCCTTTTACATCAATACAGCTCAGTCTTTTCTGCTCCTGATGGTCACTTAGGTTGTTCTAGCCTTATATCTCATGAGATCCCTCTGCTTGACGATGTTCCCGTCCAGCAGCAGTACAGGTGCTTGTCATATAATTAGAACTTGTAGATCATATTCATTCATTACACACAGACTGATATATTTCAAATGCTTATTTCTCTTAATTTTGATGATTATACCTGAACACTAATGAAAATCACAAATTCAGTATCTCAGAAAATTAGAATATTGTGGAAAGGTTCAATATTGAAGACACCTGGTGCCACACTCTAATCAGCTAATTGACTCAAAAAACCTGAAAAGGCCTTGAAATGGTCCCTCAGTCTAGTTCTGTAGGCTACACAATCATGGGGAAGACTGCTGACCTGACAGTTGTCCAAAAGATGACCATTGACACCTTGCACAAGAAGGGCAAGACACAAAAGGTCATTGCTAAAGAGGCTGGCTGTTAACAGAGCTCTGTGTTCAAGCACATCAATAGAGAAGCAAAGGGAAGGAAAAGATGTGGTAGAAAAAAGTGTACAAGCAATAGGGATAGCTGCACCCTGGAGAGGATTGTGAAACGAAACCCATTCAAAAATGTGGGGGAGATTCACAAAGAGTGTTCTGCAGCTGGACTCAGTGTTTCAAGAACCACCACGCACGGGCGTATGTAAGACATGGGTTTCAGCTGTCACATTCCTTGTGTCAAGCCACTCTTGAACAAGAGACAGCGTCAGAAGCGTCTTGCCTGGGCTAAAGACAAAAAGGACTGGACTGCTGCTGAGTGGTCCAAAGTTATGTTCTCTGATGAAAGTAAATTTTGCATGTCCTTTGGAAATCAAGGTCCCAGAGTCTGGAGGAAGAGAGGAGAGGCACAGAATCCACATTGCTTGAGGTCGAGTGTAAAGTTTCCACAGTCAGTGATGGTTTGGGGTGCCATGTCATCTGCTAGTGTTGGTCCACTGTGTTTTCTTTGGTTCAAGGTCAACACAGCGGTCTACCAGGAAGCTTTAGAGTACTTCATGCTTCCTGCTGCTGACCAACTTTATGGAGATGCAGATTTCATTTTCCAACAGGACTTGGCACCTGCACACAGTGCCAAAGCTACCAGTACCTGGTTTAAGGACCATGGTATCCCTGTTCTTAATTAGCTAGCAAACTCGCCTGACCTTAACCCCATAGAAAATCTATGGGGTATTGTGAAGAGGAAGATGCGATACGCCAGACCCAACAATGCAGAAGAACTGAAGGCCACTATCAGAGCAACTTGGGCTCTCATAACGCCTGAGCAGTGCCACAGACTGATCGGCTCCATGCCACGTCGCGTTGCTGCAGTAATTCAGGCAAAAGGAGCCCCAACTAAGTATTGAATGCTGTACATGCTCATACTTTTCATGTTCATACTTTTCAGTTGGCCAACATTTCTAGAAATCCTATTTTGTATTGGTCTTAAGTAATATTCTAATTTTCTGAGATGCTGAATTTGGGATTTTCATTAGTATTCAGGTATAATCATCAAACTTAAGAGAAATAAACATTTGAAATATATCAGTCTGTGTGTAGTGAATGAATATAAGATACAAGTTTCACTTTTTGAATGGAATTACTGAAATAAATACATTTTTTCATGATATTCTAATTATATGACCAGCACCTGTACAGACGGATCCCTCCATCGGATTATGAGCCTGTGAAGGCACACATCAATCAGCTCCTTGAGGTGCAGGTCATAAGAGAGAGCTGTAGTCCTTATGCCTCACCTATTGTGTTGGCTCGGAAGAAGGATGGGAGTGTACGCTTGCGTGTTGATTATCGCCTTCTCAACAGCAAAACTAGGAAGGACGCATTCTCTCTCCGTCATATCAAAGACAGCTTGGATGCACTTTCAGGGGCTGCTGGTTCTCTACGATTGATCTGGCCAGCAGCTATGTGGTCCCCGTGGTTGAACCAGACAAGCCGAAGAACGCTTTCTGTATCCCATTTGGCCTCTTTGAGTGGAACTGGATGCCATTTGGTTTATGTAATGCACCAAGTACTTTTCAGCGACGAATGCAGAGAATGTTTGGTGACCAGCAGTGTCAGTCTCTGCTTTTATATCTTGATGACATCATTGTTTTTTTTCTTCAGTCTCCCAACATTTGCAGAGGTTGGAGGTTGTTCTTGGCCACCTCCATCAAGAGGGCCTGAAAGCAAAGCTTGACAAGTGTTCCTTCTTCCAACAACAGGTTAGCTACCTGGGGCATGTTATCTCCAGCCAAGAAGTCTCTACCGACCCTGCGAAGATCGAGGTGGTGGCAAAATGGCAGCGCCCGTGGCAGAGCTGCGCTCCTTTTTAGGCTTCGCCACTTATTACAGGTGTTTTATGGAGGGATTTGCCACACTGGCTGGCCCCCTGCATAAACCTGTTGCAGAGCTATCAGGCTCTAAGGCAAGACGCGGTTTAGGACAGGACCTGGTAACTGCCTGGACCTGAGGCTTTAAAGGCCAGACTGGTCTCAGCCCTAGTGCTGGCTTATGCAGACTTTTCCCAGCCATTTATTTTAGAGATCGATGCTAGTCATAGCGGTCTTGGGGCTGTTCTTTCCCAGGAAGCAGAGGCTGGCATTAGGCCTGTGGTCTACGCCAGTCGAACTCTTATGCTGTGTTCACACCAGACGCAAATTCATCTCGCTATTCGCGTGTTACGCACGTATTTTGACGTGTGTGCACTGACTTTACTCGCTTCATTCGCGCATATAAGTCGCGTCATTCGCACATCAAGATTTGTGTCTGAATTCAAGTCATTCACACGAATGATGCGATCCAGACGCCGGATCCATGGGATCCCCCAGAGACGCACACAGCTCAGGGAATTCCCCTACCTTCTCCAGAAGCTGCGTCTGGATGACGGCCGCTTCCAGCGCTGTTTTCGGCTGATCCGGACCCAGTTTGACTACCTGTTGGAGAGGATCAGTACCAGGGTATCCCTCCAGGATACTAACTACAGGCGTGCTCTGAGATAAAGCGATGTTTTTTTCCGTGCCACTTACAACAACACGGACGAGTGGCCGCCAGCAGGAGTACGCTGACCACAGCGACAAGGAGCCAGCGGAGGTTTATCCCGCTAGCATTGCGATAGCTAGCAACTTGGCTCGCTAGCTTGCTAAGTTGAAGGGTGTCATTCTTGTGTGTGAACTGGAGGAGAGGGACAGCCAGTCTGCTGAGCACTGAGGTCGGCCTTGTCCAGTAATGTGGCTACTTATCTCCTGGGGTGAGTAAATCAATCAGTATTCACAGTGTAGTTGCAAAAAAAATGAATGAATCATGTTGCTGACCCAGAGAATTTCAATGCTGATTGGCCATCGCGGCGCGTCAGATCGCAAAAGTTCACATTTTAAAAACTTGCTCTTCAAACGCGCGTCTAGAATTGCATCATACGAGCGAATAACTTACTCAATTCGCGTCAATCGCGCCTCGCTAATTGCGCAAGTCGCACCGCGGGACGTTTACTCATGTCTACTCGCATCTTCACGTTGACTTTACATGTAAATCATTCGCGCGAATGATTTTACTCGCATCTGGTGTGAACACAGCATTAGGCCCACAGAGCGCAATATGGTTAACTACAGCTCAATGAAGGTGGAGTTTCTGGCTCTCAAACGGGCCATGGTGGAAAATTGTGCTAGTATCTGTTGGGTCACAAATGAGTTGTTTTCAGGGACAACAGCCCATTAAGTTATCTCCACTCTGCCAAGCTTAGTGCCACAGAACATCAGTGGCTGCCCAGCTCGGGGTCTTTGACTTTGATAATAAGTATCATTCCGGTCAGACCAATAAGAACACAGATGCACTTTCAAGGCAGTACATGTCCGGCACCAGCTCAGTGTCTTGTGCTCTTCCTGGTACCCCTGTTCCAGTCCCATTCCAGGTTCCCCACTCAGCCCGGTTGCTTTCCATATCCTAGTCTATGGTCACTGTGCTGCCCGGCCATGCCCTTTCTTTGCAGGAAGTGGATCCTCTCCTGAGGATCATTTTGGGATTTTGGACAAGGAAGGTTCAGCCTACCCCAGATGAATGATGAGGAATGCTGAGGGCGGCTTTGGCGCTCTTGCGGCAGTGGGACCACCTTGTAGAGAGAAAGGGAGTGTTGTATCACCAGGTGAGCCATCCAGATGGGGGCAAAGAGAGCTACCAACTTGACTTGCCTGAAGCCCTGAAACCGGCAATCCTGTAACAGTTATGCCAAGGGCATGGCCACCACGGTATTGAGTGGACCATGGAGCTGGTACATCAACGCTGTTACTGAAAAGGCGTGTTCTCTGATGTCAAAAAGTGGGTTCAAGAGTGTGAGTCAAGTTGCTATGGATTCTGGTTCAGTGCCTCACAGGTTCATAGGACATCTGCTTGCCTCTATGCCACATGAAATCATGGCCAATGATTTTACTCTGTTGGAGTCCCCAAGAAATGGCTTTGAACATGTTCTTGTAGTGACAGACATGTTCAGTAAATATACCATCGCCATCCCAACCAGAGATCAACGAGCTTCTATTGTAGTCCACGTTCTTTTAATGGAGTGGTTTTTCAAGTTTGGTGTTCCAACCCGCATCCATTCAGATCAGGGTAGAAACTTAGAGCTCCTTGATCCATCAACTCTGTTGTTTGTAAGGGGTGACTAAATCACGGACCACCCCATACCATTGTGCAGGAAACGGACAGCGTGAGTGATTTAACCAGACGCTGCATAACCTCCTGCGTACTGTTCCAGCTTCGTGTAAGTGGGACTGGGTCTCCTGCTTACCGCATTGCTTTTTTGTTGTAACTCCACACCTCATCAGGGAACTGGCGAGTCTCCATTTTACCTGATGTTTGGATGGGAGCCTAAGCCTCCGGTGGATTTCCTGTTGGGTCGGGTCTAGGATCCAGCAACAGGTAAACTGCAGGACTGGATGGTCAAGCATCAGGCCCGAGATGGCTTTTGAGAGTGCCTGGGAGGTTTTTCCAAACAAGTGTACCTTTAGTTGTACCAGGCATTAAAATGAAGAAGAAATTGAAGAAAACAAGGGTGGTCTAATAATGTTTTCCATGACTGTGGAAGTTCATGTGCTCAAAATGCACTATTCACCTGTACTATTTTAAAAAAGAAGCACAAACTGTATTTTAACCAATCTTAAGACAAAGAAAATGAAAAAAGAAATTCAAATTTGTGCACAGCATGAAAAAGTACTGCATTATTTGCACTACTTGTCTTTAACACAGGGTGGCAGTGTATACAAAGTCCAGACAAACATAACGTTAATTTTGGTTTGAATCATCTTAAATAAAAAAAGACTTTTGAACAACCTGGAAAGCTGTATTGATGAAGGTGTAGGGACTCTTTCGACAGTCCCTTGTTCCATTTCATCAGTTCCAAGTTATTTCAGATTTTTCAGATTAGATAAAAAAGACCAGCTGAGCTATCATCCCATGCAACAGATCTGGTGAAAATTAGGAGAAGGTTCTTCATATAAAATGTAAACTCTCTGCACCATTGCATTTTTTTGACACCTTGAATGCTACTTCTTTATAATAGGGTTAGATGAACAACTGACAATGAGGAACATTTTGGATTCAAGTTGTGAAGCAAAACTGTTTTTTAATCTATCCTCAACAACAATCTCTTCAATAAATATGAAGAATAAGTTCTGTTGAAAGTAGTACTGTGTGTGCAATTCTAGGTAGTCTATTGTTTTTCGCATGATGTATGTGTGTCAGATGTAAAATTGCAACCCTAGAGAACAGTGACTCTTTAATTTGGTAGGAGTGACAGACACACTCAGACAGAACCACACATCACTCACGGAGGTTTCCTGAGAAAGTTGTACTGGCAGAGGATGGTGATGAGGAAGCCAACAAAGCCTTCGATTGTCATGGCAACAAGTCCTCGAGTCACAATATCCCACTCAAACGGAGACTTCATCTTGTCAAACTGTCCTGAAGAACACATTTACAACAACTCACTGTACATCTTCTTACTTTGCTCCCTAAAGATTCTTTACAAATACAACAACAAAACAATCCTAAGTCTGAAAATCATCTATTTTCCACTGTCAACAAATCTTTTGACAAAGTGTGCCTTTACAGTACTAACTGACCCAGTGGACCTCACTTTTTCCTCACTAAAAGACCTCATGGAGGTGAGAGCAGCCATGGACGATTTAGTTTTTTGTATAAATGGCCCCACAAACATTACAGACATGTTGAGGGCCAAAACTGATTTTGAAATTCTCGTTTACCTGAGGCCCTGGCTTTTAAAATTCTTTGTGCTGCTTAACTATTGTCTGGAGCTGACAGTCTAGAGAGAATATGTGGCCATTCAAGCTGAGTTTAGCGTGGAGTCCAGCCAACACCACATGTGGTTGAAGACGGCCCGATTTGCCTCCAGACAGTGTTTTTGTCCAAAACCAAAAAGTTTTAAACCCATGTCATACAACACTGTTGCACTCACTGGCTAATATGGTCCTTCATTAAAAGTAAAAGTAGTGTTTTAAAGTGCATATATAAATCAACAGTGTGGATAATGTTGTGACAACCTGAAAGGTAAAAAAGTTGAAATTAAGCAACAAGTTTTTTTTTTTTCTATAAGTGACCAAATTCTGACATTGTCCTGTTTGGACATAACAAATAGTACATGAACATAAAAAAAGAACTTCTTTAACATATGCACTGGAGTTGAATATTTGCTAGAGGGTTTAGAGAACCAAACATCTATGTCCAAGCATTTTGATGATTATGTAATCTGGATCATATGCTTTTGCATTTTCTGTGAGGCAGCTCGATGAGTGTACCTATTTTAGCATAATATTCGTTGATGTACTCATTGTAGGCCATCTCCATCAGCCCATGGCCCAGGTTGTAGTTGGGGAAGATGAGAAAACAGGACTTCAGGTAACTGTTGACTTTTTTTAGATCCTGGCGGAAATTAAAATATTGACAGAAGATATACAGAATCAACCAAAGGCCATATCTGATACCTCTGCAGTACAAAATGCATTATTGTCATTCAATTTGTAGTTTTATTTTTTATTTTTAATCATTTAAAATGTATTGTCTCTTAAATATAAAGTAGAGATGGTTGTCTGACAAACTGTCATTTGACAATAAACACAATGTATTCGGCAAACTAGTTTATCTAAGGTTGCAATAACAGTCAAACTGACCTTGTCATGCTCAAAGAGCTGCAGGAGAAAGGTAGCAACAGTTGCAGTGATGCCTATGAAGAGATTGATGACTATGAGAAACACATAGGCTGTACTGGGGACCTCGAACCAGAATGATGCAGGATACATGATGGGAGTGATGGACCACCTGGAAAGAAAGCTTCAGAACATCAGAGAAACTGGAGAGCACCTGCTAATGCTTTCATGTTAGACTGAAAACACAAGGATATTATAAATTAATTTACATTCAAGAATAAAGAAATTTACAAAACTGAATTTGTGATTGTGAGCATGGTCTGTAATGGAGTTGTCTTCTCTATTTTCTTCTTAAAAAACATCAAGAGAGATGCCTTAAATGTCTTCTCCCTTTCTTTCATTCTGTTTTTCTTCTGTTACTTCCTCTTTAATGAGTGAATTCCAAGAGAAAAGGTTTTATGGTCACAGGGCTTTCAGCCTTCTTCTTTTGTAGTTACTTAAGATGTAGAAATTGGAACTACTGCACCCATTGGTGTTTCTACACAAACAGCAAGGTTGCTGTGGTATGAAACCTTCCTTCGTCTTGGTTTTCAACATCTGTGCAAATTGGAACTAGCAAAATTAAGGGCACACTCTGTACTATCTCACAGCTGCGGCATTTGAGGTAAATATCATTGCTTAGCAAGAAAGGAAAATGGCCGCTTGAATGCTTTTGGTGGTAAATCCTTCTATAAAAAAAAATTCTGTTGCCTTTAGTTGTCTCTTTCCAGTTAGACAGTTCTAGTTGTATTTGTTCAGGCTTGGAGACATGTTAGAGAACACTACTTCCATGTCAGTGCAGTACAGTGAATTAAATTTTGTTTGATGCTGCTCATTGCTTTGAAAATGACACTAGAAAAGTCAGGAGAAAGGAGTCTTTACACTAACACTCTAACTACGCACTGGATAATCCACAGGTCACACTATAATCACTTAATGCAAGGTCAGTTTGTTCAGTAGAGTGCAGTTCCACATTGTTATTTGGTGGAACACTGCCTGGCTCATATCTTTTCTTTTTGTTTAGTTGCCCTTTCTGTGATTAAATGGAGGATCTGTCCTATTCAGTATCTTGATGGCTAAGCAACTTTAAAAGCCTACCGTTAGAAAAAATATTCATCATGTCTCATGTCTTGTAGAAGGAGGAAGCAACAAACCTATAAATGACACACTCCACCAACTGTGATACAGTTTTTTGTATTTTACTACAAGTGACTTGCTGCATAACTGGTGGGCTTAACAGCACACTTTATACATGTTGTTTACTCTGGTCTGTTTTGTCTTACTGAAAGGGATATATGGGAATATGAATAAACTTTTAGAAAGTCGAAAAGAAAATATTTCTGGTGAAAGCTGTTTACAGTCTGTAGATTACTCAGAGTAAGAGGAACACTATTTCTCTGGAAGTAATGTAAAAGAAGTTCCATTGAGCTTTTATTTTAAATGAATTAAAGCACAATTACGAAGTAGAGTACATAATAACCAGCTTACGCTGTATATTAAGATTTAACATTGGAACATCAGACCACATTGACTGATGAGTAAAAGCTGACACTGTCTATATGTGCAGCCAGATGTCTCACCCATAGAGAAGGAAGAGGGAGAGAACAGCAGGGAAGTTAGTTGAGGAGGTGTAGGCTGGCAGGTCGAACACAAACAGAATAATAATGCAGCACGTGGCAGGTACCAGGTAATTCAGCTGAAGAAAGATAAGAGGAGAGAACATGTTCAGAAGTGGACATCCACCAGAGCATTTATTATGGTGAAAAAATGAACATCTTAACCTGTTTATAGCAGTCACACACTCATTATATACTAACCATGTCCCAAATATAGTTAGCAAGCCAGTAGATGACAGGGTCACAGCCACTGACAAATTGCAGATGTTTGGCCTTTGTGGATTTCTCTGCCACCAAGAAAACTACAAAGCTGGCTGGTACAAAGGACATGGCCACAATAATGAAGATGGCAATCACCACATCTGTCCCTTGGAGCCTGGAAATACAGAACAGGGCAAGACAGGAAAGAAAAGGAGTGGAAAGGAGGATCTGAATCTATCCAAACTGACTATTTGCTATTGAAACTTTTGGTTATTTCAATATTAAAGCAATGATGGTCACAACCACAAAAGACTGGCCCAAAGTTGTAATAACGTTCTTTAAATTATTCTTCAAGCAATTACTAGCAGTGGTGTAAAGTACTTACAAATAGTCTAAAGAGAGGCTGGCACTGGTTCTATTCATTGGATGGTTTGTCAGTGTGATACCTGCAAAACACATCGACACAATACAACAAATTAATTTGTGTAGATGATTATAACCAAACCAGGAGCTGACCCAAAAACCACCAAACATTACTTATTAACAACACTGTCAGTGATTTAACTGCTATGTCTTGTACCATAGGCAGCAGGGTTGCCTTTGGATGGAGGCAGGTTGGCACGCAGGATAGCGTTGTTGAGAACGTTCAAATATGTTGGCATGCTGTGGTATCCTTTGTTGTTGTACAGAGCCTGGACACAAGGATTTGTTCTGTTAGCGTAAGTTTATACTGTTATACTGTTTATACTGTACAGTTCAGACTCAGGACCCATCTTACCTGAGCTGATCTGCGAACTGCTATCTTGCGAATCATTGGAGGTATCTTTCTTCCAAATGATGCTGGAATTGATTTCTGGATGTTTCCCACTGTTAAACCACCGTATCTATTACAAAAAAAGTGCATAAACAAAGTTCACAACAAAGGTAAGTTTTAGCACATCTAAGAATACCTATGCGATCAAGATAAATTGTAGTTATGGTCCAATGTGCACTAAGATTAAAAGAGACACATATGGCTTCACACTTCCATATTGTTTAATGATTTTGAAGTATGTAAATACTTCATGCATTAGAGCAAGGAATTAAACGCAATCTCCTCAACTCAAAGATTCACTCTGTTCGGGGTACCACCTTTATTAATTAATTAGTTTTACATATAGTCCTAACTTCTGATTCTTAATAATCCTTGTTCTCTAATCCAAAGAAAGCAAGAGGACAAAACATGGCTTAAAAGAAAAGATTTTGTTATTTAAACAACTACTTGCAAAGAATAAATGATATCTATATAGAAATTAAAATGATAAACAGTCAAAGTAAAACAAGTGAATAAACTAACCTTAACAAGCTAAAAATAACTTTGTTCATTGCCAGGCAACAGTTTCCACTGAGAAATCTTTGAGATGTTCAGCAGAGTTTCAGCAGACCTTTTCAGTTTTTACACCAGTAGGCATGCTCTCTGGCAGTAGATGTAGATGAATAATGTCAGAATAAAACTTACTTTTCCTGTCCTCAACAACACTCACAATAAATACTTCAGAAAGTAACTTTGTTGAAAAAATGACAACTTCCAAAAATATCACACTGTACTATAAGAAGTTATGTTTTTTCTTTTCTTTTTTTTTTTTTTGGTTCATTCCCACTGTTACTGACTGGTACTCATAGGGAATCCAAACTCAAAGTTGGATTGTTAGGTTCTCTGTTCAAAATTCTCACGGTCTGTACCTTATTATGTTAAGTGCTGTGACATTGACACATGTTTGTGCGACATGAAGAATATTGAATTGAAAAATGTAATTTAACTATATGCAAAAGCTATGAAACTATCAGGAAATTGGTCCTTTCGCTTAATGACAGCTAACTTTACTTCTAACAAAAAGACACGTCCAAAAATACATTGCAAAAGAAAAGTTACACCAAAGTACATGACAAAGTAGATTAGGCAAACATCCATCCATCTGTTATGCCCTCTGCTGTCAGCTAGTGGCAGTTCTCCCTCTTTCTCTCCTGGTGAGTGGCGGCGTGGCATGACAAGTGAAAGCAGTTCCCAATCAGCTGATGAGATCAGCTGGGAGTGATTACCTGCAGCGTCTCCTCAAACGGATAAAAGCCTCCTCCAGACCATGACACGGCGCCAGATCGTAAAAACAGCTCTGTTAGCCCTGTCTGATCTTTTCAGCTCTTCCATCTGAGTGTTGGCCGTATTTGAACCGTTTTCTTTGTTCCAGTTGGAGCGCGTATCTACCTCTGCCATAACCCGGACAACCCGTCCATTGGATTCTTCCTGCCTTCCACCATCTCTCCATCTGCCTAGAACCCCTCTTCCTCGCTTTCCAGCCCTGGTTGAGTAATGTGCCTAGCAATGCAAGTTTAAATAACTGTTTTGCTGTTTGCTAGTTAGCCTGTTTTGTCAGTAAGCTTTTCTGTCTGTTAGTTATCCTTAGTTTGTATTATTTAATCAGTTATTCGCTAGCGCTTCGCAGTAGTTTTTAGTTTAGTTTTCTATCCTTTCCATGCTCGGTTTACCTTGTTTTGGTTAGCGACTTTAGTTCCTGTAAAACCACTTTTGTTATTAAAGAATATATCTCCTGACCCTGTCGTTGTGCCTTGTTGTCCCGCACCTGAGTCTTTGTCCTATTTGTAACAGTACGATCTGGCCATCATGAACTCAGCGGGCAACGAGGTCGACGCTGAGGCTGCGGCTCCAGAGTTAACTATTCCTCAAGCTATTGTTAATCAGGTAGGGCAGCATGAGTCGCTCATCCGTAGCTTAATTGAGAGCAACAACGCTTTGTTAAAGCAGGTGTCTTTACTCACAAGTAAATTTTCTCAATTGTCTCCTCAAGCCGCTCAGCCTGTTGGGACCGCAGATAGCTCTCCTCCATCAGTTACTGCGGTTAATCCTGTGATTTCTCAATCTACCCGTGAACCAAATGTACCAGTACCAGAGCGTTTTAGCGGTGATGGAGGTTCCTGCCAGGCTTTCTTGACCCAAGTCTCTTTAGTTTTTGACCTCCAACCACTCTCGTACTCCACTGACAGGGCCAAGATAGCCTTTTTAGTTAGTTTACTCACTGGGGCTGCGAGAGAGTGGGGCACAGCAGTCTGGGATCGTCAAGAGGCCATTTGCAATTCTTACACTGCCTTTAAAGATGAGATGAAGAAGATCTTTGACCACCCAATCCAAGGCAGAGACGCCAGTCATCGGCTACTGAACATTCGTCAGGGAAATCGCAGTGTGGCTGAATTTTCAGTGGAATTCCGGGCTTTGGCAGCTGGCAGTGGCTGGAATGATGAATCCCTCCAAGTTGCATTCTACGCAGCCCTGCATGACTCCATCAAGGACGAACTCGCCACCTGGGATGAAACCACCTCCCTCGATGAGACGATAGCCTTGGCCACCCGAATTGACACCCGAATAAGGGAACGACGTCGGGAAAGAAGTCAGCGAACTGATCCTCCTCGTCTGCGTCCAGTTCCTAGTCAGGTTGTCTCTCCGTCCCCTCCTCACTCATCTGATCCGGAGCCCATGCAGTTGGGTCGCACTCAGCTTTCCGCCAAAGAGAGAAAACACCGTCGGGACACAAATGCCTGTATGTACTGTGGTAAACCTGGTCACTTCCTTGCTGCCTGCCCCCTTCGTCAGGAAAAAGAAACGGCTCATCAGTAATTGGGGAAATACTGGTGAGCCGCACAACCATCTCTTCCCCTCCTCGGTTGCAGTGTGAAGCCTCCTTATGTTGGCAAAATCGGTCAGTTCCCGTTCAAGCCTTCATTGACTCAGGTGCAGAAGGAAACATTTTAGATCATCAACTGGCCCTGCAAATGAACATTCCCCTGGTCAAGTTGGATAATCCCCTGAAGATTCAAGGCCTTAACGGATTCCCCCTCACCCAGATCGAGTTTCGGATCGTACCTGTGATCTTGCTCCTCTCAGGGAACCACCGAGAAACTATCACCTTTTTCCTAATCGAACATTCCAATACCCCACTGGTTTTAGGATTTTCCTGGCTGCAGCAGCATAACCCCCATCTGGATTGGAAGAGGAAGGAGGTGATTTCCTGGGACCCTCGATGGCATGAGACCTGTTTGCTGTCGGCGCTCACTCCAGCCAACCATATTTCCCCCAATCCTGATCCTCCTCCAAACCTTGTGGCCGTACCTAATGAATAACATGACCTGGCTCCAGTTTTCAGCAAAGAGAAGGCACTTTCACTTCCTCCCCATCGTCCTTATGATTGTGCTATTGAGTTCATTCCTGGAGTCACCTTGCCCACTAGTCGACTCTATAACCTGTCTAAACCAGAGCAAACCACGATGGAGAACTACATACGTGAGTCTCTGGCATCCGGAATTAACTGTCCCTCCTCCTCTCCGGTAGGTGCTTGGTAGGTGCTGGATTTTTCTTCGAGGAAAAGAAATACAAAACCCTACGCCCATGTATTGACTTTCGAGGCATTAATGACATAACTGTGAAGAACACTTATCCTCTTCCGTTAATTAACTCGGCCTTCACCCCACTACATGGAGCAGCTATTTTCACAAAGTTGGATCTCCGAAACGCTTACCATCTGCTCCAGATAAAGGAGGGAGATGAATGGAAAACAGCATTTAACACTCATCTTGGTCACTTTGAATACCTGGTTATGCCCTTTGGTTTGACGAATGCCCCTGCTGTCTTTCAGAACCTGATAAATGATGTACTACGTGACATGATCAACAGGTTTGTCTTCGTGTATCTTGACGATATCCTCATCTTCTCTCAGAACCCCAAGGAACATGTGCAACATGT